TCTCTCTGAAGACTGAAACCACGACATTAAGTCCTTCACTAAGAGTCAATTCTTGTATCAGGCCTTGCTGTGAAGTACAGTCTGTTGTATACATTACACACACACACACACTCTCTCTCTCTCTCTCTCTCTCACACACACACACACACACACAGGCTTCACTGTCTCCCTCCTGCTATCATCATCATGTGTGTGTAAATGATCCTGTCTTTGTGAGGTTAATTGAAGGCAGGAGCTCTGACTGTCTGAGACATAATCTGTCTGCGTGAAAAGTAAGTGTGCCTGTATTGTGTGTGTGTGTGTGTGTGTGTGTTTAAGGATTGGGTGTTTGAGGGGAGGGATGTCTTTAATATGGCCACACTACTTTTTTAAAAAAAAAAATACAAAAACAGAAAAAGAAACATGCAGCAACTCTTCTTTATCCCTCCACCTGCTCCCTCTCTACCTCGACTAAAACCCCCAATACAGATTAGCCGTGTGTGTGTGTGTGTGTGTGTGTGTGCGTGTGTGTGTGTGTGTGTGCTGGATGAGGGGTTAGTGGGTCTGTTCCTGGGGATTTGGGGTTTACAAAAGAAACAAAAAAAAAAAGAAAAAAAAGCCAAGAGTGATGCCATAAGGCTTTGCTTTTCTCTCATATCAGCTCTTATCAGGGCAGTCATTTTTGACAAGAGAAAAAGCCTTTATCTGGAAGAAGCTGTGTCCGTCTGGCCCTGCGTGTGAGCACAGACACACACACACACAAAGAGCCACGCTCAGGGCCTATCGGACTGGAGCTCACACACACACAGAGCAGGTAATCGGCTCGCTAGTAGAGTTAGGGGGTTAGAGAAAAGAAGGAAAAAGCTCTTGCCAGAGTGTATCCCCCTCTTTGACTGGATTAAAGCCCACCAGTATTCAGTCCAGGTGCTCTGGAGGACAGAGGGCCGAGGGGGTCCACGTAGGGTTAATTCTCCCTACGGTGCAAGATCACTTCCTGCTGTTCGCCACCTGACACATCGTATGCACGTGGCCCTCAGCACAAACTGGGAAGTACATCAACGCATAGACGTACATGGAATCATTTCTGCTGATCGATATGCTCCTCTGATGTTTCAGGGTTCATTTTCAGAGCGTTTAAGATCTTATTGCCGTGTCATGTCTTTATTCTTGTGATATACATTAACTATAACTATATAATAACACCATAATTGCCGACACTTGAAGTGCAAGATTATTTCTGTCTTAAATGAAGTGATACTGTGTTTCCATTGTAGTGGATGACAGGGGAGGAGACATAAGAGTTAATTAACTCTGATTAGGATGAGCCACAGTCACTGAACAAGCCAGGGTTCTAGCTCGATACTCCGCTCAGTAATTGCTTCCTTTCCTTTTTCTCTTCCTTCCTTTTACTTTCCCTTATATGTCTTCCTTGTGTCCATCCACGCATGGGAAGCTCGTCTTTCATAGAGGAGAGCTGGAGAGCCCTCTGCTGGCTCATCATGCACGTCTGTAAAGTGAAGATAAGCCAACTATTCATCTGGGCTGCAAAGCATTGGTTTGTTCAATAAAAATAAATAAAGATGTACAAAGTACTTTTTTCCATACAGAGTTCAGTTTTTCATTCAGCTTCATGTAAAAGTCTTTAGTTGATTGTTTTTCATGTCTTTTAATCTCACACTGAGATCAGGCTCTGCGAGGGCCGTGCCATCTGTTGCAGGAGCTCTTGCTCTTCCTCATGCTGCAGATAGCTGTTTATGACTCTGGTCTTATATTTGTGTTTGTTGTCATGCTGCAGCAGGAATTTGGAACCAATAATAGGACTCCCGGATGAGATTGCAAGACAGATAAAAATGCAAACATATGTGTATGGTCATTTGATCTGCACGAATCAAATTTAGTTTTACAAGAGACGTTTTAAGACACTGACATCAGCTTTTTTAAATCCTCAATAGACAAAGAGTCAAATGACTCTAACAGTCAAGAGTCATGGGGTTTTAGTAACCCTGATTCTGAATTCATACAGCTTTTGTGGTCCCAGCAGCAGCAAGCCAAGTTTCAGTGGAATTTCCTGCCATTTGATTAAAGCTACAACAATAGGATCAGTACTTTGTTTCTATCCCTAAAGGTCAGTAGGTCGCACACTTAATCATGTTACATATATTATGTTTTTGTGAAAAAAAAAAAATGTACCAAAGTACATTTAACCAAAACATTAACTTTAAAAGAAAGCTGATTAGCATGTCAATAGCAATAACATGGCTGATATCCTGAATTCAAATTGGATAAGCAGTAACCCTACTGATATACATCGATCTTTGTATTTCAATGTCATCTTTGTAAAATGACATTGGAAGATTGCTAGCATTAGCTAGCTAACACTGATATTTATGAAAGATGTATTAATAAAGAAAAGACACCCATTAATTACACATATTAATTAAGTAGTCAAAGAATCAGCTTAATCGAAGGTCAGTTGTTTAATATTTATGAGAATACGTCATTATGTGCTTATTTTTACAGAAAAAATGTCTACGACCTGCAGTGCCTACTTTGTAATACAGTCAACTCATGCTAAGCTGCACTTATACTTTGACATATTCAACAGATATTATGAGCAGAATAACTCAGCGAGTTGATACAGTATTAAAGTCTTCCTACATAATCATTAGAAGTTTTAGTTTTCTTCTGCTCATGACTTACAGGACGTAAACTGAAAGAATTGAGGCTAGCCTAGCTTCAGGGCTAACAGCGTATGCGCTAACATTATTTGTGATGGGTTCAGTTTCAAAATGAGGACCAGACAACTCTCATAATCATGTATATTTAAACCTTATTAGTCAGTTTTTTAAGTAGGTACCCTTTCTCTTAATTTAACTCACCGAGCTTGAACAGAAAGAGTTAGAGCTACCACAAGGAATGATGATTAGCTCTTTTATAAAACAGGTATGGAGAGGGGAAGATAGCAGGTGGGGTCTCAGCAGAGGTCTTGGCAGGAGAGGATATTTATGCTCATGGCTCCTCGTGTTGTTAACAGAAAATGCAAATCAAAGTTACTATTACAGTGAGTATGTGTTTAAAGAATCAGGAGATGTACTTCTCTTTTAGTTACACATCCTCATCATAGGAACTGCTGTCGTACTGTTCAAACCCCGTGAGTCTGAAAGAGTTTGGTTCTCAATATAGACCACAGGCCTGAGTCATGGCCTTTAGGTCACACACAACAAAGTAAAGAAGTTCAGTCAGGAATCTCTTCTTATTCTTGTTATTCATGTAATTGTCACATAAAAGCGGTTCATAAAAACGTTTTTAGTACCCGACGAGCAGCTAAAATGGGAGGTTTGCAGATTAGAAAGACTTTTAAAAAACATTTTCAGGCCTAAGTAAACTGCAAGGGTCTTCTAATGGGCAGTCAAAAAAAGACAATACGATGGCTGCAATGTTTATTTCTTCTTCTTTTTTTTCTCTCAAATTTCAGTGAACCAGAAGAATATTTTGGCCTGTTCAAAGAGTTCTAAGGACAGGGCCCAAATACTTAAAGGGATTATGCTAGGACAAGCCGCACTACCCACTCTCTGTTCCTACCTTCCTCCCCAGTGCCATTCGGTCCCTTTGCCTGAAAGACTTCCAGTGTTGCCTCATCTCTTTCAGGACCCTCACGTCCTCGAGCCTGACAGCCATCGCCTAATCAAAGACCTTCTTTTCAGAGGGAATGCTAAGTGCTCCTTAAATGGAATGAAAACAGGACACTTATTACTTGCTATTAAATTCTTTTCAATGATAGTACACTTAACAGAAAACAAAGCTAATGTAAAACATGCCATTAAAGCTCAACTGTCACTGGGGACATCCGCTGGTCCAAGTCTGTCTGAGTGGCCAGCAATGGTAGCGACAACCACATCATCGGCCTCGCATGTAGCGCCACTAGCAAATCACTGACTGCATGCCACAGGCTTTGACTTCTTCTGTTTGTTTTTCATCTGTCAGACTGTCATCACGCTTCCTCAGATCAGAAGTGGTGCTTTTTTTCCCCCTGTGGTTGAAATCCTGTCAGAAACCAGCTGTGCTCAGCTGTTCAGACTTCCTGCTCAAAGGACCCAGTGTTCATTTGTTATGTCACAAAGTCGAGTCAGTTTTATTGATATATGTTGTTGTATTTTCTGCACAGAAATAATTCCACACGCAGAATTTCATTGCAAAGATGTTACAGTCGGTCTTGCATAAAGCAGCTCTAGTACTCTGAACACACGTGTGTCGAGTCCTTTGAAGCAGACATACACCCCACCACTATCACTGCCGTTCTTGCTCCTCAGATGAAAGCTGATATGTGATCGAGAGTCCGGCCGCTTGTTTCCATTCAGAGCAGTGAAAAGGAAAGACGAGCTAATATTGTAGCACTTGTGATACAATCACACGTCAGCGTTTCTCCTTTTGAATAACACAGGAAAAGAAGGGATTCCTATAGGGCACTGCTCATTTTGGGAATTATTTTTGGATTTAGCTGCACTCTGGGTTTGAAATCTAAATCTAAAGTTTCTGTAAAAGGTGGAAAAAGAACAAAAAACCAGAAAGAAACAATAAAGCATGGGGGATTGAATGAGGAGTAAAATGTGATTGGGGTGAAGGAGGCAGGTGGCTGGCCTGCTGTACACCAACCAAACCCACAAACAGCTGTTCATTTCTCAAAGCACCCTTGTGCCCCCCTCCATGCATCAATTCTCTCTCTCTTTCTGTCTCTCCCCCCCAATATCTTCCTCTTTCCCGCTCCACCCCCACCCTCTCCCCAAGCCTCCAGTCCACCCAGCCATACCTGCCTCCCACCTCACTCTGCTGCAGCTAAACACACTTTGATCACGCGCCAGAATCAGGACACAGCTGGCTCACCCGTGCACTTCTCACCGTCTGCTTATCATTTGTGGCGATAGTAAAACATAGCAGCGATAACATGTCTAAGTAAATAGTGACATTTGAGGAGAAATTAAGCAAAGTGGGAGACAGACAGAAAACTTCCAGGAGACCCAAAGCAGCGGCAGTCTTTCCTGTATTTACATCCCAAAAACACGCTAATCCAGTCAAGTGCAGGACATAAAAAAGTCAGGCCTCTCCACCACCCCCCGCTCCCCTCCTCTCCACCCTGTCATCCAGGCGGGCAGGTCACTTGCTGGCATGAATTGCACGGCCTACCAGCAAGAAGACCAAACCAGAGATGAGCTCCAGGGGCACTCCAGCAGCCGCCACCATAAACGACAGGCCGTAGAGGACTGAAACCTCAGCGTTCGGACATGTTTCCCCTCTCTCCTGAAGGATGTAGCTCTTCACATCCACCACCTCCATCCACAGGACGTAGAGCAGAAGCGTGAACAGGAACAGGCAGGCTGCGGAGAGATACAGACAGTATTAGAGAGACAGACACAGAGGCCGTCAGTGCTGTGAGTGGCTGCAGAGGAACGCAGCTCCTCTTCATCTCTACTGTTACCACGGCGGCAGTGTTTACTGCTGTCGTTATAGTGACAACACTGCAGGGTGACATCTGCTGCTCTGCGTGCCGGGTGTGTGTTTATCATGTGACAGGTATGAACAGCTGACAGCAGCAAAGGCTGCAGAATGAATGTGCGTCTGTGCATTCGTCTCTTGTTTCACACTACAGTTAGGACTTACACACACACATAGATGCACAGGCAGCAGTCTATATTTTACCAGCAGCTAAGAGGAAGGCCCCGCCCAACTTGTAGAGTTTGTAGCTGATGAAAGGAACACCACAGACCAAGAGGAAGCCTCCAGCCAGAGCTAAGACGAGTCCGAGGATTATCAGCACGGTCCAGAAGCCCCGAAACACTGCAAGAAACACAAGCACAGCAGTGGAATCCCATAAGTGTTCTGCAAAGAAAGGGTGTTTTTGCACAGGTTTTCAGTTTAATCCCAGCCCCTTGGATTCATTTGCTGACCGGTCCACGAGCAAGATGCTGAAGCCCAGGTTGCTCCTGTCGGCTGCCGAATCTTGCATTCCTACCCAGGAATTTTGTGTATGTGTGTGAATGGAAGAATAGGAAACACATTGCAAAGTGCTTTGTAGAGCTGCCAAGGTTAAAAGGATGTCATATAAGAACGGATCATTTACATGTAAGAAGCTAAAGTCAGCATCCAGTTACTTTAGTCTGGCTGAAGGAAAGCAACTACTCTGTCTTTGAGAAAAAGAAAGCAACAAAACTGCTCTTCCACAGTCATTACATGTTCATTTTGTTTGGTTTCAGTCACAGGAAGGCAACGCTGGTTCTGATCTTTTGCCAGAATATTGGAAACAACCAGCCATCTGTAGATGTGGTTAAATGCTGTCCTATTTAACACACAAATAGAACAATGTTTCCCATCTTCCCATAAAACGCTTAGCAAGAAAGCACAAAAAAGTATTTCCCAAAATAGACTGTTCCTTCAGGCTGGTCCTTTAATAACTTCGATATGGTCCTGATACGTTTAGGCTGTAATACGAGCACTTTTTGACTGAATAATAAATACCAGATTAAGTATTAATCTGCTAAATCTTTACTGCTGTAGCAAAAATGGGATTTACTATATGTGGGGACCTAGAGATGAGGCCAAAATTATTAAGCGTTGCTTCTTTTAACAGATCGAAGGAATTTGTTATACAAGTGTCAAGAACAGGAGTGAGGAGTATCCTCAATAAATTCCAAGAAACCCACAGAACACGCCTGGCAGTGGTAGGAAGTGAAAGATTTCAAAGATTCTGGAAAGAAAACTAGTGAGAGATGTTTCTAGAGAGCCCAGAATAACTGCGAAGACACCCATGAATGATTTAGCCAAGTTGGGAATTGTAGTCTCAAATGAGACAATCACTAGAGCCCTGCACAGGAATGATGCGAGATTGGAGACCAGGAAAAACTTCACTTCTGCAGAAGACACGCCTTCAAGCCAGACTGCGGTGTGCTAAGGACACCCTAGAGACAGATAATGCACACTAGAAGAGCGAGAAGAGGAGATAAAACTAGAGCTCTTTGTCCACAGACACTTTGCTGATGTTTGGAGAAAGTAGTGAGAGTTCTACATCTCAAAGGACAGCGTCCCCACAGTGAAACACGGTGGTGGGAGGATCATGATGGGTGGATGCTTCAGTGGGTCTGGAACTGGGAATCTCATCAAGGTGGAAGGAATCATGAAGTTTATGTGAAGATTTTAAAAGCAGTCAAAAACAAACGAGTCTGGGTCGTCTCTTTATCTTTAAACACAACAACAACCCAAAATATGTCGCTCCTGGGGAAGAACTACCTCCAGAACACCAAAGTAAATGTTACTGACTGGCCAGTTCAAAAAATGCAAAGCCCTGACTTGAAAATCACTGTGGGATGAACTAAAAACCAGGGTCCCTGCTGGAAGACCATCAAATCTGGAGAGCATGTGAGACATGTTGAAAACTACAACAAACGACTGCAAGCTGTTAACCAGCAAAAAGAGTAAACGACTGACTGTTAGCATCGAGGAGGTAATTATTTTGACCCTGGTAGTTTTTGTGAAATAATTTTGTTTCTATGTGCAAAGCAAAAATAATGTAAGCATCCAAAATAAAACAAGGATGTTCGGACAAGCTGTGCTAAAAACAAGTTATCGCTCTGTTAAACAGCATTTGGGAAATACCCATATTGTTATTTAAGAGTAACAAATATTTCTCAATCATGTATCAAAGATTTGTATCAAAGATAATTTTACCTGAAGTTTAGGAGTGAGACTACACCTTAAGCACTCCTCTTCTAAATACCTGTACCTGCTCCAAACACCTGTCTGTTCTCGCTTTTCCCACCCTCCCCGTCTTTCTTTCCGTTTCCCAGATAGGCACTTGGTGTATCCGGCATCCTCATATCAATCTTCTCCAAACCCCTGCCTCTCACCCAGCTGGCATCAAATAATCTATCCACGATTATTTGTGCATATTTTGTTGTTCATAAAATGTCTTGCATAGATTTGAACTCACTACTGAACAACAGGAAATAGAAAGATGTGTGCCCATGCAGCATATATTTGAGACTGTGAATTACCTGCTGTGGGGTCATAATTTGGGTGAGGGACTTGTCCAACTGCAACCGGTAGCGGGAAGAGGTAACCATGGATGCAAACCTTAGACTCTGGCTGGTTTGCTATATTTAAAAAAAATGAGAAAGGTTTACAAAAATAATCACTCAAAATAATGGGCAAAGGTCTATAACCACAATAAACAGCAGACATATTAAGGCTTACACATCAGTACTGACTTTATTGTTGCCTTTTATTTCCCATCATTAACTAGATTTTCTAAAAGCAGTGCCTGAAAGAGTGGCAGAAGCACACTCAGCTATCAGGCCACTTGAATAACAATATGCTCAATGGTTATTCTGGATTTCTTTTTCAATTCAGTGATGAAACATGAAGTGCAGCAGAAAATAAAAAAGACACAAATGCAAAATGCAGTCGGGGGAAAACAAAAAGCCCCAAAACACCCCATAAACAACATATTTTAGTAATCCTTTACATTTACTGTCACATATGGGCATTTTTCTTTTCTGCACTTGTTAGCATGTCAAGGAGACCACAGTGTTGAGCAAGGGACACGCAACCACATTGGACAACTCCCAACAAAACCTTTGTTCAGCTTAACTAGAGGAAAGTTTCGCCTACGTACTGAAGAGAGTGGCCAGGACTGCGTGCGTCGTGGGCTCCACCTGAAACGCACAGCGCCAGAAAAAGCCCTCGTGGTGCAGCGTGAGGGAAGGAGGGGAGGTACTCGCTTCTTCCACCAACAGCGTCTGAGAAAAAGAAATGGAAGACAGACTGACATCACAGAGATAGATGCTCGAATACCTAAAGATGGATGAATCCCATTTTCTGTCAGCTCTGTCAACACGTCTGCGCTCGCGGCTCTGTGTGATTCCCTACTTCACTGCAGCCACGGCATCAAACGTGGTTCTGATTATGGCCTGCTGGTCTGTGAGGTTTTCGAGGGGGAACTTATATTCTCTGCTTGCTTGTCAGAAATATGATTGATGGCGCCGAATAACACAACAACTTTAATCATCCTGTTTTATTGAAAATGAAAGACTTTGTTTCTGTGATGTTACGGAGGAATTCACTGGGGGATTAGCTTTTATAAATATATCCCTTAGGTTGCACTTTGTGAACTTTCTCACAAGTGCTTCATGGGAGAATAAACTGGAAAATTAAAGGGCCACTCCACTGATTTTACACATGAAGCTCAGCCGGCTCGTCAGTGAGAGTCCTACTCGCTGTGTAAAATCAGTCGTATGAAGGTGCCACAGTTTTGTCAAACCTTACCCTGAACCGCTTTTATTTTACAGCTGGCAGTCGAAGTGATGGACCAAAAATATTAAATCTATGAAATACACTCAAATTTTCAGCAGCATGCTGATAGCAGCAAAAGGTTATCAAGGATGTCAGTGTGTGATGACTGGGTGGTCCACAGCTGTGGTCCAGACTGAAAGATCTCAATATCTGGGTGGATTACTCTGACATACTCTACATAATCCCTGTTTTTGTCTCCTATTCATGAAATAACACCTGAACATGCTGATATTATTTGCTTAATATCAGCATGTTCATATTTTAACCAGAGCCATGCTCATCTTCACAAAGATGCTACTGTAGTGTGCATGATGGGATGCTGTGTCATAAACTCTGGATGTGAAGTCAGGAAGAATGTAGGTGTGTAAAGAGCAGGGAGGGTTTGATGAAAGGTGCATTTGGAGGTATTGTGGTAAGATCATAAAGGCCACTAAATACAAACTACAAGTCCACATGTCTCTTCTAACTCCTCTCCTGCACACTTTACAGAAGTGCAGTCACCTACAACAGGAAGGCCAAACATAAGGTCCGGGGGCCAGAATCAACCCAGCAACAGCTCCAATCTGGCCCACTGATTTTGAACCTTTAACTGTATTTTCATACATTTTACAGCTTTTCTGATGAAGACCTCCAACAACTCGTAAAGTACCAGTAAGGACAGTGCAGGGAATTAGCAAGCTGAACTTTTTCTGTACTTTTGCGAATTTATCATGTGGAAAGACTGAGGCATGCTGTTTAAACTGCACTTCTTGTTCTTATATTGAGACATCTCATGGAATAAATGTTTGGTTCAAAGTCTTTACACTGACAGAAAGGGGAGTTTTACTGCTCCAGTCTACTTAAGATCAAACTGGGCTGTACTAACCACTATGTAAAATGAGTTTAGACATCCCTGGCCTCCCACACGTTTGGGCAGAGTGTAATCGGTTAAAAAGAAAAAACAAAATGCAGTGGTTTCCAAATCGGGAAGACTTCTGATAATGATTGTCAGTCAGCAGCTTTTACTGGATACACAAATGCAAGACCTTTGCTATGCCATTAAAGAGACAAAAACATATTTTTTAAAAAGACTTCAGTTGAACTTATTTAAGAGGCAAAGTGGAAAACTGTAGCCTGACTGCTTTCTCTTGCAGGCCAAAGAGGTTAAGAGTCCTCTGCCCTGTCAGCACACAGTTAAAAGTCAGTACCTGTGTTGGTATGGAAGTAGATTAGTGAGCTTTGCTTGGGTAACTAGTAATGCTGACCAGTGGATTCAGGTTCTGGAGCAACATATGCTGCATTGCAGTGTCTTGTTTCAGGGAAGGTCTTGCTTATTTCAACAAGACATCAGCAAACAACGTTCTGCATGTATTCCAGTATGGGTGGAGCTGTTGCCCAGTCAAAACATTTGGAGCAAGAGAGGTTCAAACTGCTGGGCAGCTGGAATCCTTACAAGAAAGAATAACACTACTGCCACGTTTCAAGAATTCGATATTGCAGCAAAGCATCTGACCCAGATTTTATGAAACATGCCAGTAGCATCAAATTCTAAACTTATATTTTTTTCTTTTAAAAACAAAATCCCTCTGCTTCAACATTTGCTGTTTTCCTTGTTCTAGTTTTAATTAAAACTCATATGTTCTGTGGTTATAAATGTGTTTTGCACAGCCTCCCAGCTTCTGTGGAAACAAGGTTGTAAATTGCTTCAGGACATCTTTAAATATCTTATAGTGGCATACTGTAGCTCGCACAGCAGCGAGTCCACAGCACCTGATCGGGTACCCCATTTATTCTTTTTGTGGTTTTCACGTGTGACCAGTTAAAAATAATATTTTCGGTTACTGTTATTGAATCGATGTGTTTTGATGGAAGTGATCAGTGATTGCTTATGTTAGGAATCGCACTTCTATCTGTCCTACCTCAGTCCTGTTGGCATCTTTGTCTCCCATCGGTGTCGTTTGTGTTTGCCATCTATATGGTCTGCAGTTGTCGCTTGCGACCAGCCAGTAGTCGGTACCAAATGCCAGGAAGAAACACAGAGTCCCTATTACCCCAAAAATCCCCCCAGACAGGGCTGCAGCTCCCACCCTCATAACTCCGGCCTTTACCCCGCTTTAAAGTATGATTCCTCTTAGCTTTTAGTCTTCAGGTCAGTGACTCCTTACTTGTGTCCACTCTGAAGGCTGTCTGCCCAGTCCCAATCCTAAAGAACATGGCCAGCCTCTCTCAGCCACTCCCTGGCATGCTGGGAGCTGTGAGGAAAAAATGCTACAGTAACCGAGTAGGTCAAACGGAGGGAGGTGGGGGGACAGGAGTTATTTTAGGACGCAGTAAGCCTGTCCTCGTCAGATTACCAGTGTATGTATTTTGCTGTGCATTTGTAAAGGAAACAAGGAGAGGAAAGATTGGCATGAGGACGTTGTGGGCAGCAGGTATCAGCATTTATGACTGCGAGGTATTTGTAATGTTGGTGTTACTCTGGGAATGGCGCTTTGAAAATGAATTAGGCTGGAGATGCAAGAGTTGTTCAAGAGGTGAAACATGGAGCTGAGAAAAGCTTTATTGTAGCCGGCAAACACTCTGAATAAATAAATAAAACCATTAAATTCATTTTATGAGGAATTTACTTGGGATGCATCCATGAAATTGCTGAAGACTTCTACTAGTTCTGCTTTGCACCTCACAACTCTGTGCTTAAAGGAATACGAGGTACTTATCATTTCAAATGATGGAACACGCTGAGTTCTTTGCTTTCATATGTTTTTCTCCCTCCCTCCCCGTGTCTCACAGTCTGCATTCATTGCTGCTTCTCATTCTCCAAAACAAAGCTGAGGTGTTTCCTGGCGGCTCTCTCCACGGTTTCCTTATGTTTTGGAGAGACTAGGTCTTCTCTAGCAGCTTTTGGATCCGTTGATCTAGTCTGAGCCGGGCCAGCTGAGTCTGAGGAGTCCAGGAGAGTGGATCGTGGGCTTATGGAGCACACTGCCATGAGGGAAGACGGTGAAGTGAGCTCAAGAGTCACAAAGTCAAAAAAGCTTCTGGTCAAAGATCAGGAGGGAGAGAAATACTAATAACCTGGGGTTTTTTTTTCTTTCTTTCTTTCTTTAAGTTAGAGCAGAAAGTTTGAGAGACAGCAAACACACAGTTAAAAAAAACTGCACGAATTAAAACATAATTTTGCAGAAGTAAACAGGAAGACTGAGTTTTAATCTTACATACTAACTAGCAAGAAAAGCAAAAAGCCTTTAAAACTCAGACTGAGAACCTGAGAAAAAAGTAAAGCTTTCCATTTGTTCAACATGAGTTTGATAAACAGACATTTGAAAAAGAAAGTGGTTGTCGGACTCTATGCGATCACATAAAAAAACAAAGTGCACCCTTATTGGTTCCATATGAGGGGAAAGTAGCAGCCTGGTGTTTTTAATCAAAATTAACTTGATTAATTGATCATCAGCTAATTCACCTCAAGGTCCAACCGTGCAGTGTTAGGAGAAACTGCAAGAGCTGCATGTCCGACTCCACAGGCCTCAGTTAGCATGTTAAATGTTAAACTTCATGACAGAATGTTTGGTGAGATAAGTTATGGCTTGTTTTAGAAGGAGTGCCAGGAGAAAAAAACGACCATGGCAGCATGGTTTAGTTTTGAAAAGCTGCATCTGAACAAACAACTTCTGCAACAATGTCCTTTGGACAGACCAACAAGACCAAATTTGTGCTGTCTCACCATCATGCACAGTTACGTTTGTAAAAATTAAACACAGCATATGAGCTGTCAGGCACAGTGGTGGAGGGGTGGTGATTTGCCTTGTCTTGGGGCTGCGGGACCTGTGCACCTTGTAGTTATTGAGTTTAACTCAGGGCACCAAAGTCATCTAGAGTCAAATGTAATGCTATCTGAGAACTAAAGTTTGGCTGAGAGTAGGTTATTTGGCATGGTAATGATCCCAAACATCGAGGTGTTACCATGGCTGAGCCAAAGTCCAGACATCAGCTTCATTAAAAACTGTGGTTGGACATAAAGAGAACCTGCAAAACCTCAATGAACTGAAGCAATGATGTAAAGAAGAGCAGGAAAAAATGTATTGACAATGATGTGAGAGACTGATAAGGTCATACAAAGAATTAATGATTCAAGTTATTGTTACGTAAGTTGGCCCTACAAGCTGCTGAATCATGCAGAGGACTTGGCTGTTTTTTATAGGACTGCATAGAGTCCTGTCAAGACTTTCTGTTTCACGTGGCTGTGCATCTGGCTGCGTCTTTACCTGTGTGAGATCTGCTAAGTCCAGTTCTCACTCTCTGTGGCTCACTTAGCCCACCATCCTCCCCCTGCAACAGTAGAAATACACAGTACAGCACCATGGAGGATGTTCTCTACTCTGATACCGACACTCCATCATTAACGTAGTTCAGAATCACACAGAGTTTAAACAGATTCCTAAACTTGGATGCAGTATTTCAACATGAATCCACTAAACCACAGGTGTCAAACTCCAGGCCAGTGTCCTGCAGGTTTTAGATGTGTCCTTGATGCAACACAGCTGATTCAAATGGCTAAATTACCTCCTCAATAAGTCTTGAAGTTTTCCAGAAACCTGGTAAGGAGCTAATCATTTGATTCAGGTGTGTTGACCCAGGGTGAGATCTAAAACCTGCAGGACACCGGCCCTTGAGGCCTGGAGTTCGAGACCCCTGCAACCCTGTGAACTTACTCTCCTAACCATTCAGTCTTCTTAATTCTGTTCAATAAAACCCAAACATGAGGAAATGCAGGTAGTTTGCATGCACCTGAAAGTGTGTGATTGTGTTGTATGAGTATCTTTCTCCCAGACTTTGGTGTCTGTAAAGGGGCTTCCTTGTTCTGTCCACCGATGTGTCCTGGTGCAGGGTGTGTCTGCTGTAGGCTGGTGTCTGCTGGAGTGAGGACAAATGCATGAGCCCAGAAGTGTGGAGCTGAATTATACACATTGTGCAATTTCTAAGTTGTAGTAGCTGGAAATAGGAAATAGCTAACAGTGGCATAGAAACTTTACCTTGTTGTTGAAGTTTTGGAGGTTTCTTGAGAGGATGCGCCTGATGCTTTCCATCTCCTCCGGTAGTAGAGGTCGCCCTTGGGAGCGAGGATCCACTCTAGGTTTTTAGAAAACCCTGATTATGGTCACGAACCTTTCTTCCGTTATTCTGGGAACTTTAAGGACAAACACTGACACATAGTCCAAAAACCATTTTCTTACATCGGCGGGGCCTCCTCCTCGACTCCCCTCTGCTCCCGTCTCTCCAGCTCCTGGTAAACTCTGAGGATGCTGGAGCTAGCCTGGCGGTCGTTACGGATGAGGAAACGGCGAAGGTACTTCTTGTTGAACTGCTCAAACCTCACACACACACAAGCACACAGATGGCAATACTGTGACTTGTAGAAAATGTGCATAGTGTTTGCTGCCACCTGCTGGTCATTTCATATTTTATCTTTTTACATGCACAACGAACGCTTTATGATAAAACACAAGCAGAAGGCAAAGTAACAGTTAAACACGGAAAACTAACTTGTCTTTCCAGTAGTGCTGCCCCCAGTAGCCAACCACGTCCTCTATACCTGCCACCAGGTGATCTATGAGCTAACAACAAACAGGATTACTTGCAGATAACTTGCAAAAAATGATATCCTTTGGAAGTATTGAAAGAAATTCATGAAACAGGCTGCCCTCTGTGCACCATCCACTTCAGTGCATCCTTCAAACATTGCATGCTTTGCATAGGAAAAAACTGAACTCACCTTGTTTCCTTTTGGTTAGTAAACCTTGCTCTTCTGAGATCATAATCCTTGACAGTCTTTGCTAATTTACTGATATCTAAAAATCAGTAGTGTCCAGAGTTATCTACAGCCCTATCACAACTCCACACTTAGCTGTGATTCCTGTGATCTCTCACCCTGCTGTGGATCTCCTCGCTGAGAGTAGGCAGAGCTCTCTTCTTCCTCTTCACATACAGTAGCTCCACCAGAGGCTTGATGGTCATCCCCTGCAAACCAGACTCAGAAAAATAAAATCCACCTTCAAACTATGACAAACTGTTTTCCTTACAATTCACGAACATGTTTGTCCCACCTGTACAAAGACAGTAAAGAGAATGACCACGATGGTAGTGGTGATGAAGAGTCGTTTCTTTGGGAAGTCATCAATCAGGAAGACCAGGGAAAAACAGATTGCCCCTCTCAGGCCACCGTAGGCGATGATGAACTGGTCTCGGAAGGTCACGGCGTTCCTCCGGAGCTTGTTCACAAACGCGGTCAGCAGAAGCACGCCTTTTCAGAAGTGAGAAAGAGTTTAGATATCCACTTTGCTGATCTTGTGATATAACTTGTTTTAAAGTGCGGAGAAGACTTATACCCGTGGCCCTCCAGATGAGACAGAGCAGCAGTGTAGAGCACACAAACGGCCAGCTCCACATGTGGATGTCCTGTATGGTGGACACTCCCAGGAAGATGAAGATTAAGGTCTCGCTCACGCTACTCCACATCTTCAGAAAGTACTGGATGCTGGTGTTGCTGCGCTCCGACACATTTGCTTCCACGTACTGTTTCATTGTAGCAGCACAGGTCACTATGCTGCAGGGCGGGGAAAGGGGAAGCAAAGTTAACTAATGTTTATAATACTAATGCATACAATTTGTGGTCTTTGGGATTCAGATGATTCTGAGCAGCACTCACGCCATGATCCCAGAGAAGTGAAGCATCTCTGAGGTAAGGTAAGACAAATAGGAATAGAGGAAGACAAAGAGCGGGGCAATGACTTGGGCCCTGGAGGTAAAACGTGAGGTGAGGGCTGCCAGCAGGCCGAAGAAGAGACCTACACACAAGCCTCCGATTCCCACCACCACCACCCTGCAGCCCCCCAGCAAAACATCCAGCCCTGACACTGATGGCAGACGGAGGAAGGACTCAAAAAGCTTGTAGAGCACCTGAGAGGAAGAAACGTGTATGAGTATCAAGTGTTTCATTTAGGTACCTGAAACACGCACCGCTTCTCTCCTCACCACAGTGACGGCGTCATTGAGCAGTGACTCTCCGAACACCAGGATATGCAGCTGTTCGTTAACTTGCATCTCTTGGAAAACAGAAAGCACCGCCACTGGGTCTACAGCAGCGATCAGGGAGCCAAACAGCAGGCAGTGGAGCAGAGAGACATCTCCTAGTGAGCTCTGAGCCAGCAGGCAAACACCGTACAGAGACAGGCCGATGCCCAGGACGT